CCGCTGGCCGTCACCCCCTGCCCCGCTTTGAGAAACAACAATTTTCCCATTTTTACCGACACCTCACCGCCGTTGCGTTCAGCAAGGCGGGTCAGGAATTTTGCATCAGACTCCTGCGACTGGTCGATGTGCGGGATTTTAATTCCGGCCAGTGACGGAGCGACACTGGCTTCCAGCCTGTTACGGGAGGCTATCGCCTCAACAATCGCACCGAGCGTGGTGTCATGCCATGAGCCTTCCCGGCGGGAATTGAGCGTCCCGCGAAAATCTGCACTCCGGGCGCGGATGGTAACCACATCCGGCGCGCCCCGGTGTTCAACCTCATCAACGGTAAATTTCCCTTTGCATACCAGGGCAAAACCTTTCCAGCCGATATACACCGTCAGGACAGCGCCACGAACCGGCAGCCCGACCTGCCCGTCGGCATCGTTCAGTTCAATATCAAGCTGGTCAGCCTCAAAGCCCCGGTTATCCGTCAGGGTCATGCTCATCAGACGGTCGCTGATATTGCCGGTAATATCCCTGCTGTCGAGCATCAGCATGTAATCCGGCGTCAGCGTACTGCCTGCATCAAATGTCAGCGCATCCAGCATTATCCCGCCCCCGTCATACCCGTGAATTTAGTCGCCATACTGCCAGCCTTACCGATGAGCGATTCCGCCTGTTTACCGATATCGCCATAAAGCGCGGCCAGTGATTCATCAACGCGGGTGAGCGACAGCGTAAAATCAATTTTTCGGGGTGTGCCGTCTGCAAAGAAAATACTCCCTGTTTCACTCACCCTGCTGATGACATACATGCCGTAAATCATGCCGGTGCCATCCAGCAACGGCCACGCCCGGCCTTCATCTGCCATCAGTCTGAGCGTGGTCATCGTCAGCTTGCCGCCGGTCAGTTCGGGATAAAGCACACCGGCAAGCGTCATGTTTTCCTCACCAACGCCGAGAAACTGGTAGGCATCCCGTTTACCGATACGGGAATTTGACGGCCAGCGATAATCTGATTCACGCTGCATGGTCTGGTGTGGCAGCGTCTGGCGCATAAAAACAAACATACCTAACGCGAGCATCATTTTTCGTCACCCCCTTAACCGTCATGCATCATGCTGGCACGGGCGCGCGCACGTTTATCCCGCTCGTATTTTTCGAGCGCATCCTGTAACTGGCGGTCAAGCTGTGCCCCCGGCGCAGTACCACCCGTCAGGCTGATGTGATATTCGTTTTTACTCTGGTCCACATAAGAGCGACCAGCCGGTGCCGTGACCGGCTGATAAGCCTGATAGCCTGCATAAGAGCTGGTCGCCGGAATATAACCACCGGTGCCATACGTGGCGGCATGAGTCCTTGCGGCGGTCTGGTCAAGTGTGTCTGACTCTTTGTTGATAACCCCGAGTTTTTCCAGTACCCAGTCAATACCGCTGCGCAGTTTGTTGAACGCATTAAGCGGCAGCATCAACGCGTCAGCCAGTGCCTGCCCGAACATGACGCCCGTGTCACGGCAACGGTTCAGGGTGTCCTGGGTGGCTTTAACCGGGGCAATCAGGTTTTTAAACCACTGCCACGCGGCCTGTAACTTTTCGCCCAGCCAGTCAAACACCGGCT